ATGCATTTCTGTTGGCAAGAGCTAAAAGATGAGGAATGACATGAATGGTGGTGACTCAGGGAAAATCCAGTCTTCAGAGTTGTTTTATTTTTGTGACTTCTGTGTGGCCATGACTTGTATGATGTACAATCATGGGAGAAAGATGTTCTATATTCCTGTGAATAAGTAGTAGGTCAGATATTATCTAGGTTTATGTGCCACTGAATGAGAATTTTCTGTGTTAGGACCATTCATGTTGTTACAACCAAAATGTGACATAAGTGTTTCAGTTGTGAACTCCGTTAGAGAGAGTTTTAAAATGTTCCTTTCATTTGGGATTCATGCATAATGTCATAAATATACCATCTACTTACAATCATTTTTAGTTTTTCCTAATGTGAAAATGATTTATTTCTTTTAGCTAAAATGGAAAATGAATTGCTATTCTGTGGGATGGAGAGGGAAGAGCAGTGAAAATAAAGACACATTGTTAAAGCTTAACTCCAAAATGCTTTTGAGCAGTGAGGGACTGAGTAATCAAGGGGACTTGTTTTTGCTAGGTCATAGACCTTCTGCCCCAGTGCAATTCAATATTGAGACAGGTGGGAAATGACAGCATTACAGAGCTGTGCTGCCCTGTGGGGCTCTTCCATTCCTACGTGCTGCCGTAGGAATCATACACCAGCGGATTAAACTGGAGAAGGTCTACCAGATGGGCTTGTCTCAGTATGAACCAGATCATGTGCAGGGCCAGAGCATTCTCCTCACCCACAGACCTGCACCATGGTCATGTCCTCAGCACAGGGAGCCTGAAGGAGGCAAAAGATGGAGACTGCTTCACTGCAGTTGTTCCCAAACATCTGGCTGGTGGTCCTTTGGTCCACAAGAAGTTGTCTGTAGGTGATCTACAGAACCGTATAACAACAAGTAGTAAGAACTCTCTTTTTTTTTCATGTGTCTGTTCTTTTGCTGTCTGTAAGAGTATGGAACTCTGTGTCTAAAAGGGTTCAGGCATCCCTGAGATGCAGTAAACCCCCCTGCTGCTCAGAAGCAACATTCATTGTGTTTTGCCCTTCAACCTGAAAATAACACAGAAAATAGATGTTGTTTTACTTGTATTTTTAGAAGGGTTTAACAAACAGATATAGTCTCTCTAAGGAATGAGGGATACTCAGAGGCAGTATGTATGGCAGAATTCATAAATACCCAACTTCTGTAGCAACCTATCAGGTGAATGAGCATATCCCAAACAGAGGAAACAATGCCAAGGCTTTTCAAGATGCAAAAATTATTTTACCAGTTTAAAATTGAAATTACATAGAATTGAAAGTGCATTGGTCTGGGAAAAAAAAAAAAAAAAAAAGAAAAAAAAAAGCTCTCAATACTCCTGTTTGATTTTCATTAAGAGAAAGTCTCTACTAAAATCCTAAGTCGTTCACATTTAACAATGCTTCTCACTTGTAGCAATAGCAGAGAATTCAAAAATAAATTAATTGTGTACCTGGCTATATGTTTCTGCAGTTAATAGAGTTAGGATTAGAGTTGCAGCCCATGTTTTTCTGTACATCTCTTTAAGGCAGGTAAGGAAAGTATTATTAATACGATTTCATCATTCTTGCATGCTGAATTAGAGGAGAAAAAGAAACAATATTGTAGCGAAAACCATGTTACGCTGCAAAAAAAACCCACCAAAATAAATTTATAGGCTTTATATAGAATCCTACTGAAATTGGTTATTTCAGGAGCTCCAAGTATATTCATTTGATTCTTGTGTTATTCATACACATACATTTTAGTGGCTCAGATCACTAACTGACATATATGGGCATATCTATGCACTTTTAGTAAGGATTTAAATTTTTTCTGTTTCCATGGAGTCAGTTAACACTACGAAAGTCAAGATATAAGTATTTATTTTGTCTCCTAAGTTATGAGGTGTTAGTTATATGGGAGTAGTCTATAGGTACTAGATACCTCTTTAGTACTTTTCAGCTGTCTTAGAATCCATGCTGGGAATGTATTATGGATTTTTCTCTCTGTTCATGCCAACTTTTGGCAGGCATATGTTTAAAAGTTTAAGTTCCCCGATAAGTTCCCTGTGGCCAAGGATCCTTCAGAGAATAGACAGGAGGGATTATACTGCTCTGTTGTGTGGTTTCGTCAAAATGTGAAATCTAGTGGCAGAAGCTGGGGGCTGTTTTCTGCAGGGTCACAGCTGGCTCCACAGCTCGGCCACTCTGGTATCCCCAGCTTAAGCCTGTACATGCCGTGTCAGAGGAGTGACAGGTGAGGGAAGGTAGCACAGCCATCTCTTGTAAAATGTATGAAAACTATTCCTCTTGACACTCGATACGCTGCTTTTAGTTCCTGAGGAAAACAAGCGTCCGCCCGTACGTTCCTGCAAACCTATCCCTTTCAGGAGTTATAAAATACTCATCCAGATGGCACCAAGTGTTTACGCAGAAGCTGAGGCTTAAGTCAGTCACAGACAAAAGTCCCCAAGACTTGCTTACTAAACAGATAGTTGGAATGTTGGCTCCTGGTTCTGGTTAAATTGAGCTGAAGGAGGCTGGCGCACAAGTGTGGCGCGGAGGCAGCCGCGGGAGGAAACCACAGACTCAGGCCCAGGCAGGCTGCTCCGTCACTGCTGGCTCTGCCCTCCCTGAGCAAATATCATCAACAGATTACACAGCTTCCCCCTTGGAGCTTCAGCAGTTACTCACGTAATGCTCAAGTTCACTTTTGGCAATGATGCCTGGGAATTTCACACATTAATTTGATACTGTACTGCAGTTTATACTATAATTATTCAACATTTATACAGAATTTTGAAGAGGAGATGTTTGGTATCCTGGCATTCTTACTGTTATGGTCAGCAGTATATCAGTGATTCTTTCTGAAAATCATGTGCCACTTTTGCTTACTTGTCTCCTCCACATGATGCTTTTCTTTTCTCACACTGAAAAAAATGTCATCTGAATATATATAGTAAATTAATATTACTATTATTTACAGTATTACTGAAGAAGGGGGAACATACCCCTATTAGTGAGCATCTCAACTAATGTAGTCCTCTTCCTTTTCATGTCATGATATAAAGGAGAGCCATTCTAATTAGCTCAAGAAAGAAGAGAGAGAAAATTGTATTTTCATTCTAAATCTCTTGATCTCTTTACATACATTCATGTACATTAAATTTTCTCTACGTGAACTTTTTAATGGAGCTGTATTTGCATCAGATACAGAGATCTTTACCTCATCCTCCTTAAAAAATGCTTTTTAAGTATGGAAGCAGATCCTGTTAAGATTCCCCTCTTAGTGTAATAGAATATGATTTAGCAGTTTCAGTCTTTTAAATCTTCCTTATGCAGCAATACTGATGCTGAATGCACAAGTGAAGACTGATGTCTTAGCCTCAAAGAAAATTTGTTTTTCAAAAAATTGCAGTTGGCTAAAGTGGCCTGAAAGTGATTTATACGTACTTCATTAGAGGAACAATAATGGTCCCATATGCAGTAGACATCCATGTAAAGAATAATTTCAAATTATTCCTCGGGATTTTAAATTACACTTTCTTTGCTTACAATATACATCCATGTCTATTAAAAGTACTAAGTTCATGAAATGTGAACTTCTGTGAAAATACTTTTCCAATTTCCCTTTGAAATTATTGCTTCTGAAGAAAAGTAGTTGTCAAGTTACCAAAGAAAGATGCAGAATGACCAAACCTAAAGCATAATGAGATCAGTGAGGAGCATATTTTCTGTTTTTTTCAGGAATAAATTATCATGAAGAAGTAACTGATCATGTTTTCTGACAGACTGAAATACTTCTGCTAAATGCTGTCTTCCTTCCCACAGAATTAAGTGGCTTGGCAGCAGTTTTAAAAGCAAATTCATAGCATATTCTACTTTGCCCTCTCAAGCAAAACAGCACAATTACTGCAGTAACAGTGACAGGCCAAACATAGGGTACAAATCTTTTGAACTTGCCCACTCAGCTTGCTTCAGTAAGGATGTGAATGAGGCAGGGTCATGTTTGGAAATGCTGAAGATACAGGAATTTGAAATAAGTGGTAGTGTGATTTTCCTTATTAAACAGCAATAGAATAACAAATTAGTCATCTATCTGGGATTTTCCTGTGCTATTTTTCCCATTTTAGCAAAATTTTGTAACAGTATGGTGTGTCTGCGTGCTCTCTGGGTTCCTGTGTGGGTGGTGATAAGCAGTCTTATGGACAAGGAAATGAAGCCATTAGAGTTATATTTTCAGATCTCTCTCTTCCTGACTCTCCTGTTTGGGCCTCTAGGCAGAGAAGCAGGACAGACACAGCAACTAAAAAGCCTTGAAGATACCTGGGAAACCAATGCTGTAGCCATCTTGACTGCAGATAAAGTATTTCTATTTCAGCTCCTTTGATTGCTGAGGATGATCACCAGTCTTACATGAGAGGAAGCTACTCATTTCCCCACAATACAGTGGAAACAGGTCAAAGAGGAAAATCTCAAAATAGTTGGAAGGATGACAGTGGCAGTCATAACCTGCACAGCCTAACTTG